CACTAGTTGCTTTTTCTCTCTGCCCCTATACAATGCACTCTCCCCCCACCCCTGCTTTTTTTTTTCAGGGAGACATTGTTTCATGAGTTTCCAAAACCTGTCTACTTCTCTCCGATGGGTGAAAAGGAAGTGGGGAGAACAGCTGCTCTAGAACTTCCCCGCCCCTCCCCCCCCTTTTTTGTTTTTCTGGCATGCCGGCACTCCAGCACCTTCCAAGGTAGACATTGTGGTTTTTTCGGCACTCCAGACAAAAAAACATTGCCTACCCCTGTTCTAGAGAAATGCACACCATACCCTCAAATAATTATATCACCACTTAAATGTTATTTTTATTTCTTTTTGGAGATTTCTATAATTTTACTGACAAACTGTTACACACAAGAACACATTGCAAATGGAATCTAAGTGTGATCAGTTCCCCACTTCACCTGCTCAGATTAGAATTCAGTTCATCTGAGAACTGTATTAGCTGGCCTATGAGGACCACATAAGCAGCAGCTGCACCAGAAAGTAGGGTGGATTTGTTGTGCTGATGCTATGTAAAATTGTGGAGAATGGCTTACTCTACTGCTTATCAAAGTTAAATAACAAAAAATAGCAATAACATTTAGGTTTCAGATGGTGCTTTTCTTCAGTTTCCTTGTGGCACATAATTTATCATGCATTTCAAACACCTCTTCAGTCTGTTAGCCTCTACTATTATTGTATTGTTTCCCCTAAAGAAGAGCTATGACAGAGTATTTTATATATGTTCATAAAACTAAATGTATGTGTAGTTGGACTAACAGTGTTTAAATTTTCACAAGGGCACAAAAATAGCCTCAGTACAATCATTACAAATGCTCTAAAACATTCCTAACATAGTTTTTTCAAGAGTGTATATAGCATATTTAGAATGCATCACACGGATGGCGTAGTAACAAGTTTTTATTGGCATTTGTTTGGGAGGATCTGTGTAACTCAACTCATGGCTTTGCTAGTTTTAAGTAATGAAAACATCCCAGATAAGTGCCAATAAAAATTTTATAGCATGGATTATGTATTTCTCAGGCTCTCCCTTCTATACAAACACCAATATAAAGTACCTCTACCAAAAAGACTGAATAAAAGCAATGTCCATATGCAAAGTACAAGTTTAAATGCTGTGCTTTTCCACCAACCTTCTCTGACACAGGAAGGAATACAGTAGGAGGTTACAGTAGAGAGTAAGCAGCAGCTAAGATGTTTCCTTCAATAAATTTCATACCATTCTTCTATTTGAAAGATACATGTCTTTCAGACAAAACTATTAGCAGGTGGTCAGAAAATGTCAAAGAAATTGGCCTGAATATTAATCACGAGCCGAATGCAGTAGTTCAGCAAATGTGCTGCAAAGCTCCTGCTGCTGTTTTATAGCAGTAAATAACACAGTTCATGGCAATTTATCCTCAAAAATGTGGTAGATCTAAACAATTAGATTATCTACTTCATAAAACTGGCAGAAACCTCCTACGTTTTTTGTCCTGCCTTGCAGTATTGCAGAGACACAGCTTGGTTAAGATGAGCAGAATTTTAAAAATAATATTAGGAATTTGTAGGAAATTTTAGTTCATTACCACTTGTGGTTGGTGTCTAGTGTGGGACCTGAGACTTCACTGGTAGACACTGTGCCTATGGGAAAATAAAAGCTCTGAAGTCCTTCCAGACCAGCATCTACCCCCTCCCCCCTTTGTGCTCTTTTCTCCCACAGCAAAGAGAAGAGTAAGAGGATTCAGAAAGCAGCTGAGTCTTAACAGAGAGGCCCAGTAAAGCCTAAGCCTGAGTTATTGGTTAAATGGTATAGGACCTACAAACCTGGACTGGACCCATATAAATGTTTTATATATGTGAGATGGGGAAATGGGCACAGATCATCTCTCTCTGGTATCATGTTAATGAAGCCGTGGCTTGCCACTTCAACCGGTTCCTGTTTCTTGCTTCCTTCACCTGTGTGTCCTGATCGGTGTACAACAAATCTCACTCAAGTCAATCATACTGTTATATCTGAGGGTACATTTTAGATATAAATAATGCGCTGGTATAATCTGACATAAGGAGATGAAAAATAATTGCCGTTTACAAAGTGTCGTCTTTACCAGTTCATTTAATTTGGCCTATCCCTCCAGAAATCCTTCACCTGTTATATCTCACACAGGCACTAAGTCATTTCATTTTCCTAGACTTACTTTGGTCAACCACATTTCTATAGAAGGTATTTATTTTTGAAACTATACTAATGAATTATCAGTTACCAACACTGTAGTCACAAATTCTAAACAGGTATAAATTTCGTGTTGAATTATCGTAACTTTTGAAATAGAGATGAAAAAGCAATCCCAATATGACTGCAAAATTATCCAATTCACTGATTGCTTTGTATTTGCATAGGTTCTAGTTATTGCATCATTAGCTATTCAACAGGAAGTAAACGAGGAGTTCCTTAACAGCCTTTACCCAAACTTCTGCAGAAGCATGTTTCTTCCCGATACAAGGATAAAAACATATGGAAAGGGGAGGAGAGAGGAAAATTGGGTTTAGAATAAAACAAAAAGCAAAAGAGAGTGGGAACCAGAAAATCTTAATAATATTAAGATTTTTTAAAATTTTGATTTATAAAAAGTAGCAGTTGTGTTAAGCTCTTCCACAGAGTATTTTAATGAAACCACCAGAAGGGTCACTTTTGCTCAATGACAATTCAGTACATCTAAGCAAAAATGTATTTATTTATGAAATTTTATAAAAAGTAAACGTGATGTATGAAATTGCGCAAGTGCACAGAAAGTGATGTTTTTCATCAACAGCCTTGATCTGATGTATAAACACCACAAGATCAAGCGCTGGAGACACCCTCAAAATATTCTCATCTCACTGGTTTCCCTGCATCCTGATTTGCCCACTTTATTGCACCTAACGCTTTGGTGGGCAAATGGAATGTCTCATCACATTCCTCCATCCATTAGTGACAGTGTAATGTCTTTCACTGTACTGCTAGAAAGCAGGATAAGAATTTTTCAACCCCCACAAATGACTTTTCATTATTATAAATGCTTCATATAAAATATGGTAAATTATATCTATAGATAAATGAACAATAGAGTACTTTCATTTAGAAAAAGGAAACTCTATTGCTTAGCTAAGTGAGAGTCCAAAATAGATATTACAAACTAGCATCTAAGGGGGTTTTATCAAAATGTTGATACAAGTAGAAATATGGGAGAATTATGTCTGATAGTCTGACAGTTTAGCTCTCCACTAGTACCCATCTGATGCAGAGTAGACATGACAGCCACTGTGCACAACTGGTTTCTACATCTTTTTACTGGTTATTTCTGACAATGATTCATCACTGATGCAGCAGAAGAAGGTATTTTTGCTCCCTTTTTAATCCTTTCCCCATGACATCTGTCAGTCCTTTTCTCTTCCATACAGTGAATTCATGTCATTCCTACCTGTTACCCTTCCACCTGCCCTGTCAAGACCTGGCTACAGGGAGGTATAATATAAGATGTTAAGCTGCAATTTAACCAGCTCCTAGAAAAATTCTATTAAAACTTTCTACAATGGACTCCAGATAGCCTAATTTCCATTTTAACTGATGATATTTAGCCTGCTGAATGATTCTGTAATTTTCTTAGAATTCTCATCAAAATTCAAATTGTTACTACACCTTTTATTTTTACTAACAGATTAATATGAAAAATGTAGTGGTTTGCAGGTGCAAAAATACTTTTTATAAAAGACAATATTTACAAATCATTGTTTATAATATTTATAATATTTCTTTAGAGACTCCTCATGCATTAAAGTGATGCGACAGTCCTCTAATTTTCTAATGCTGAGGACATGATATTCAAAAGTAACAAAAATGGGTTCAATTTGAACCAAGTTCAAACATTTATATGCTTGATTTAGTTGTGGAATAGAAATTTGATTATTGTTTTAATTGTTAAAATATTTTGTTTAGTCTATTGGCTAAACAAGACTTCTTACCAATTAAAACAATAATCACATTTCTATTTGAGGAGACAAATATTAACAGTCAATGGACTTTGGTCTTACCTGTATACTTGTAGTCAGAGGCTACTCCTTTAAGTGCAGCATCAAACACCGAAATTTCCACCCTCTGTTTTCTGTGGTGACAACTCAAAAGTATAGAAGGCTGTGATACAACAAGGTACAAAAAGGGTTCTAATTGTGTGTCTCCAATTCCTCTGCGACCAGGTTGTCGAACGATAGTTATACCAAGGGCTTGTCGAGCAGATGACCGTGTGGAAGCGTGAAGACTTTCCAGTGACAGTAGACCAGTCTTTCTTCCAGTGGGCAAAGAAACATTACTGTTCAAGAGATCATCTGCGGTGACTGATGAAATACATGACTGACTGGGTTTCTCAGTCTCTTGACCAATACTTGAATCTGTTTCTGAAAGGTTTAATGAGCTTTTACCTACTTGATCACCATCTTTCTGATCTTGCGTTGATTTAGGCTTCAGTAAAGCAGTACACAAGTAAGTCATCACAGATATCCGACTTGCAGTAATAAAAATGTCAAAGGGAATGAAGTTCAGGTTCTTCACAATGGAAGACTGGCGGGAAGGTTGGGCAATGCGATGTTGGCTGGTGCCACTATGTTGTTCTATTTGAACTATTCTGATTTTAACGCTGTCACTGCCAATGCCACTGTCTTGCGCTCCACTATAACGTGAAGAAGTTTCAACTGTTCCTCCATCAGAGATGTCCATTTTTTTCTGCTCTTGTTTGGAAACCTGAGAAGGAAAATATTATATCTGCTTATAATAGCCATATGCTAACTATTTCCATTTCAGTGGCAGAAAACAATTGCTAAATAAACATGATGTCAAAAAGGAGAATTAATTAAAAAAAAAAACAACAAAAAAAAAACCTGCCAGGGCCAAGTTAACTTTTAACGCAGTAATCACTCAAAAACATAGCAGGTGGCCATTCAAAGAAATGATGACTCACTTCTGATGAAGTGCCAGAAGAACATGTGAAGGGAAAAAAACAAATAATGATTTCTAGACTCAATCTCCCTCCTCCCTAACCTCCCAATTCATTATTTATATTCTAAAGAATCTAAAGGCACTATATGGATTTAGATTGTATCTCTATGAAATGATACCATATAGAAACATTTTTCTTTTAAGAAAAGGTTGATAATCAGAATTTTTTCCAAGTTTTGAGTATTAATACTTAAACCCCCCCCCAGGTGTCATTACAATGCTTTAAAATGATTACATAAGATAAAAATAGTACTAATCAATTTCAAAATCATAAGGATTCTAAATGGAAATCGTACACTGAAAGACCTAAACAGGCCATTGTAAGAAAACTGTTTTCTTAGGCATGCAAATACCAGCTGCATTATACTACCATGGCTCACAGCTCAGGTAAATGTCAGCAATATATAAAGCCTTTCATTCTGGTGGCATGAATTCTTTTCTCACTACATTTATATGAATCTGGCTGTGACCTGCACAGGATTTCATTACATAGACATGTTTAGTTAGACATGATTGCATACAGTAATATTTAGAAAAGAACAACAAATTTACTATATGGTAAGTAATGATTTCAGCCTGTTGCAATGAAGGGAATACAGGTAAATTAAGGGTTAGATTGTCCACTTAAGGAACATATGTCTAAGCAGGCCAAGGGTGAAGGAATGAAACACGCTTGCTGATACAGGCCATAAAGTTCCATGGGAAAAGTCTCTCTCCAGGCACTAAGACAGCTGTACAAATGTTCACAAGATTTCTTGAGGCAGAGATTCTTCTGCAATAAGTTAGGTAGGATAGGATACCTATGAAGATTTCCTTCCTCCCAATCTAACTTGAACACCTGTACACTTCTCTCATGTGGAGGATACCCCATAGCCCTCTGCCCTGCCTCCAAGGGAGAGACAACACGGGCTCCGTGACAGCCCCACCAGGATAAGTATAGACATTCAAAAAGACCAAGCCCAAATCAATTCAATCTTTGCAGGTTAGTCTAACCCGTGTAGATTGAACCAGCAAGCAAGGGAATAGACATTCACTATTTGATTCTGGAAATGCAGCCACATGCCTGCAGGGGCTCAGGCTAGAAGCTGGGGGTGCAAGAGTGAGCCCTCAGCTGAGGGGAAGCTGAGCTGAGGTGGGAGGAGGAAGGGGGCATTGTCAGGCCCCAGCAGGCTGAGCAT